GTTCTCAACCTTCCTAATGCTGCGACCCTTTAATACAGTTCCTCATGTTGTAGTGACCCCCAACCATAGTTATTTTCATTGCTACTTCATAACTGTAATTTTGCTACTGTTATGTCTTACACGACCCCTGTGAAAAAAAGGTCGTTTGACCCCCAAAGGGGTTGCGACCCACAGGTTGAGAACCGCTGCTCTAGAGTGTGCAATACACATTTTCTTCATGCTGTAATTTTATATTAATATACTTTATTTTAGGACAATTTTAGACTTACAGAAAATTTTGAGCAAATAGCACACAGGAAATATACATTTTTAACTAACATAAGTCCATTTTCAAGTAATACTATTCCATTTTCTGCAGAGTACAGGTACTCTGATAACAGAGTATTACAATTTTCTTCCTCTGTCCCTTATGGAATCACTGTCATTCATTTCACTTATCCATATGCTATAATCATCCAATACATTGAGTTGTTGACCTATATAATTTTCCTTCTCTTTGAAGAACTTTTTAAAAACATATATTTTTATTAATTTTAGAGAGAGAGGAAGAGAGAGGGAAAGAGAGAAACACCAATGAGAGAGAAACATCCACTGGCTGCCTCCTGCACACCCCCTACTGGGGATCAAGTCTGCAACCCCGGCATCGAACCGGTGACTGCTTGGTGCATGGGACGATGCTCAATCAACCCAGCCACATCGACTGGGCTTTGAAGAACTTCTTTTCACATTTTTTTGTAGGGCAGTTCTGCTGATGATGAATGCCCTGGTTTGCTTTTCTGAGGAAGTATTTCTCCTTCACTCTTGAAGGATAATTTTGCCAGGCATAGAAATCTATGTTGCTGGCTTTTTCTTTCACCACTTTAAATACCTGGCTGCACTCTCTTCCTGCCTGCATGGTTTCTAATGAGAAGTTTGCTGCCATTTTCCTCCTGTGCCTCTTTGGTCAGGTGTTTTTCCCCTCTGGCTTCTTTCAAGATCTTCTCTCTGTCTTTGTTTGTTTGTTTTGCAGTTTGAATATGATATGCCTAGCTGTAGATTTTTGGGGTGTTTATCCTGCTTTATGAGTTATTAGACTCCTGATCTGTTGTCTTTGGTGTTTATCACTAATTTTGGAAAATTATTGGCCATTATTCTCTTCTCTTTCTGGTTTTCCAATCACACAGATATTATACCTTTTGAAATTGTCCTGCAGGTCCTGAATATTCTGTTCCATTTGATTTTTTAAAACATTTTTTCCTCTCTCCTTGGCTGCTGTTACTCAGTGGTTAGAGCACTGGCCCATGCACCAAAGGGTCTAGGGTTTGATTCCCAGTCAAGGGCACATACCTGGGTTGTAGGTTCGATCCCTGGCCTCGGTTGGGGTGCATGCAGGAGGCAACCAAGTGATGTGTCTCTCTCACATTGATGTTTCTCTCTCTCCTCTCCCTCCCTCCCTTCCACTCTCTAAAAATCAACGGAAAAAATATCCTCAGGTGAGGATTAACAACAACAACACATCTTTTCCTCTTTGTATATTAGTTTGGGATGTTTCTATTGACATATCCTCAAGCTCACTGATTTTCCCCTGGCAGTCCACTGGTGGACTCATCAAAGGCATTCTTTCTTTCCTTTCTTTTAATCTTTATTGTTGAAAGTATTACAGATTTTCCCCCTTTTCCCCCCCATTGACTCCTTCCTCCCTGCTCCCACCCCCTCCTGTTTTCCCTAAACTATTGTCCGTGTCCATTGGTTGTACATATATCTTTTTTCTTTTTTTTTTTTAATCCTCTCCCAAGGACATTTTTGCACTTCAGATAGAGTGGGAGGAAGAGAGGGAGGAAGAGAGAGAGAGAGATCGATGTGAGAGAGACATATAAACTGGTTGCCACCCACATGACCCAAACAGGGCTGGGGACAAACTGTAACCGAGGTACGTGCCCTTAGTGGGAACCGAACCCGGGTCTCTCTGGTCCACGGGCTGACGCTCTAACCGCTGAGCCAAACCAGCCAGGGCTCCTTTTTCTTTTTTAAATATTTTTTTTATTGATTTTTAGAGAGAGGGGAAGAGAGAAGGAGGGAGAGAGAGAAACATTGATATGAGAAGAAAACACTGATTGGCTGCCTTCTGCATGCGCCCCTACCAGAGACTGAGCCCAAAGCCTGGGCATGTGCCCTGAGTGGGAACTGAACCAGCAACCCTTCTGTGCACAGAACGATGACCAACTAACTGAGCCACACCAGCCAGGGCAAGGCATTCTTCCTTTCCGTGAGTGTTTTAGATGTCTACCATTTCTTTTAAATTTTTTTCTTAGTTTCCTTCTCTCTGCGGACACTGCTCATCTGTTCTTTCATGTTGTTAACTTTTTCCATTAGATCCCTTAACATATTAATCATAGTTATTTTAAACTCCCTGACAATTCCAAACCCTCTGTCTTTTTTCAGTCTGGCTTGGATGCTTTTTCTCCGCAGACGGTGTCTTTTCTTACTATTAAGCATGCTGTGGAACTTTCTTGAAAGCTAGACACCGTGTAGTGGGTAACAGGAACTGAGATAGATGGGCTGTTAGGGTAAGGATTTCTATTAATCTGGCACGGGGGTTGCAGTGTTTAATCTCTGCTCTAACTGTCGGGACTAGCGGCTGCAAATTCCTCTGGCATCCTTGCTTCTCCTGCTGTCCTTGTTATTTCCTAAGAACTCCTCATTAGCTAGAGTGTGTCTGGTAGCTTTGCAACTGTAGCCTTGTAATTATTATACTGCAGGCCTACTGAGGAGGTAGTAAGGAGTGGGGAGGAGAAATGTTCTATAATCATATGTCCCTGGGCTGTGACATTCACTACCTCTCTTATTCCCAACCAACCTCTTTAAGTAAGACAGGAAGGTTAGAGGGGGCTGGAGTTGGAGAAATGCCTTTCCCCAGGGTGGATAGATCCTGGTAAAGTCATTTTCCCTGGAGAGTGGGCTTTTGCTAAGGTGAATAATAGGGGTGTGTTTCACAATGACAATTTCCCCCTCCCCGTGCAAGAGCCGTGAGGTGAGTGGGTGGGTGGGTGGGGGTTCCTGGAGGTAAAATCACAAACTCTCTTTAGCCTGTGACCCCTGCCCCCCCTTGGAGTGTCTCAGTTTCATAGGAGCGCACACTTCGCCCCCAGCAATTCATCAGCATTCCGGTTCAAGCCCTTCTACCTGTCTGTGGCTCCAGCAACTTCTGGTGAACAGATTGTGGCTGAGACTGGATTTGCCTGTCTTCGGGTTTTCGGGTGGTGGTGGACCCTCGGAACTCAGTTCTCTAACTGGTCTCAGAAAAGTAATTGATTTTCAGTTTGTTTAGCTTTTTTCTTTTTTTTTTCTTTTTTTTTTTTTATCCTCACCCGAGGATATTTTTCCATTTTTTGTACAGATAGAGTGGGAGGGAGAGAGAGGAAGGGAGAGAGAGAGAAACATCGATGTGAAGGGACACATCGAGCGGCTGCCACCCGCACGACCAACCAGGGCCGGGGACAAACTGCAACCGAAGTACGTGCCCCTAGCGGGAACCGAACCCGGGTCTCTCCAGACCGCAGGGCGACGCTCTAACCGCTGAGCCAAACTGGCCAGGGCTGTTTAGCTTTTTTCTTATTGGCAGGACAGGAGTGATGACGTCCAAGCTCCTTACGAGTTAGAGCAGAAGTGGAGATGCTTGGGCGCTCCGGCACCAGCTTCGCCATGTGAGCTGTGCTCCCTCGGCTGTATAATGGGACCACACCCCAGAGGTGACGTACAGGGCAGGAGCCCGGCCAGGGGCTGCAGGATGGAGAGCTGGAAGCCCCCCCAAGAGGTATGCAGTAGTGGAAGGGAGCAGGCCCAGCAGTGCTGGGCTGTAGGGCAATCTACTGGCTCAAGGGGGGAAAGGGAAGAAACCTGGGGTGCGGGCCAAGGGTGGCCTCTGGAGGCCAGCCCATCCTCCCTCCTCACCCCAGCCTAAATTTCACTTCTACCTGTGATTCCCGGGCCAACAACACCTGTGCTTTGCACCACTGCTCCCCCATTTTTTTTTTTTTTTGGTTAATCCTCACCTGAGGACACCCTTCCATATTTTCTTCAGATAGAGCGGGAGGGAAGGAGAGAGAGAGGGAAACATCGATGTGAAAGGGACACATCAAGTGGCCGCCACTGACACGACCCAACCAGGGCAGGGACAAACTGCAACCGAGGCACGCGCCCTCAACGGGAACCGAACCTGGGTCTCTCTGGACCGCAGGCCGACGCTCTAACCGCTGAGCCAAACCGGCCAGGGCTGCTCCCCCATTTTTAAGTGATTCCATGAGAATTCCCAACCACTGCCCCCCCCCCCCCACCTTGGCCCCATCAGAGGTAGTGTTACGGAACTCAAGGGGTCCACTGCTTGGGGTGTTCTGTTCAATAACCAGACATGGTTGTCGCAAGGTAGTTTTATTTACTCGCAGCAAGTTCTGCAGACGGCATTAGTATCCAAAGCTCTGCCTGGGGAAGGGAGGCTTAGCCACTGCTATTTGGTCAATTACGTGTTGATGGCTCCTTTGCAGTTGGCTACACTCATCCCTTTGAGTTGCTGTCAAGGTCATTTTGTTTACAGCAGCCTCTGCAAAATACTATGCTAAATTTGAACACTTACAAGAAGAACATTTAGTAATAGCATTTACAACTGCTTAGACCTTGAGACCCTTGTCCTATCTCACAGTAGGACGGGAACCCAGGAGCCAAGCCCTCTGGCCAGGGCTCCTGAGCCTCCGGGACTAAATAGTGCCCAAAGGAGGGAGCTGAGTCCCTGGCAGAACGGGAAGCACAGTCGCCACCCGGGCCCCAGGAGGCCAGGCTACTGCCATTGTATTTGAAAGGCTCCGCGTCCCCGGGGAGGGGGCTGCCGGAACAGCGGGAACAGAGGCTGTGCGGTGTTATGAGTTCTGCACCAGGCCGCCCTTCCTTCAATCCCGCCGGGGTGTCCCGGACCAGAGGTGACCTCCTTGCTGGGGTGGTCGCCAAACTCGTGGCCTTGCGGGGTTGGCGCCGTCGCGAGCGCCCCGGGAGGGTGCCGACGAGGCGGAGGCGGCGCTCGGGCGCGGCCGGCGGCTCCCCAGGCGGGGCGGGGCAGAGCGGGGCGGCGGCATGGCTGGACGGCGGGCCGGAGCGGGGCCCGGGCCCCGGGCGCTGCTGGTGCCGCTGGCGCTGCTGACTCTGCGGGCGCTCGGGGCGGCGGGGCACCCGCAGTGCCTGGACTTCAGGCCGCCCTTCCGGCCGCCGCGGCCGCTGCGCTTCTGCTCGCAGTACTCGGCCTTCGGCTGCTGCGCGCCCGAGCAGGACGCCGCGCTGGCCGGCCGCTTCGGGGCCCTGGCGGCGCGCGTGGACGCCGGCCTGTGGGCCGCGTGCGCCGGCTACGCGCTCGACCTGCTGTGCCAGGTGAGCGGGCGCGGCGGCAGGGGTGGAGCGGAGGCGACGGTGGCAAGCCCACTGGACGAGGACCACGGGTGGGCAGCGGGCTTTGGGCGCCGAGGCCCCCAGCGGGGGTAATTGGGTCCAGGGCTGGGAAACGAATATCTTGGGATGGGCAGGGCTTTGCCATTCACTGGCTCTGTACTTGGGCCTTCTTCTGGCCTCAGTTTCCCCTCTTGAAGCAGGAGGTATGGACGAATGATGTCATCACTCCCTCAGCGTTTGGGGTTCCTCTGTTCTGGGACCTCCTGGAGTCAGCCTCCCTGTACCCCGGCTGGGAAGCCCCGCCCTTGTCAGGGTACCAGGGTAGGAATCCATTGTCCCAGGGTCTGCAGATGGCATGGTCAACGCGCTGGCCTTGTGTTTGTCGAGGGGTGTGGGGGACATCGCTTCCAATGAGGGACCCTTCCCGGGACCCTCAGACCCTGGTGAGCCCCAGGCCTGCGATGTCTCAGGCACTTCAGACCCCACCCCGGTTTGTGCCGTGATCTCTCTCTGGGATGGCGCCCCCGCCCAGCAGAGGCTGTCATCTTTCCAGACCACCTGAGTGACATCTTTTTGATGAAACCTCTCTGTCCCCATCTCCTCTCCGAGGGTGGAGCCCGGGCTTCTGCTCACACCAGTTTGTGTCTTAGCTGTTCATTCTCCTCCTGCGTGGGCCTGATTCCCAGTGCCTGACCTGAAGGGGTGGGTGATGGGGTCAGGCTGTTAAGCCTTAAGGCTGGCATTGGCCGGGCACCAGGCAGTGAGAGGACCGGGGGCTGGAGAGTCCTGCAGGGCCAGTGCAGTGTCCCAGCCTTCAGCCCACAGAGGCAGGTGAGGTGGGGAGGGGCTGCCTTGGAGTCAGACATAATGGGATTTGATCCTGGCTCTGCCACTTCCTGGTTGCGTGACCCTGGGCAGGTCACCACTGCACTTCAAAGCTCCTTACATGTCAGATGATGCTCCTTGTGTCATCTTTGTTTAAAAAATTTTCTTTAATTGATTTTTAGAGAGAGGAAGGAAGAGGGAGAGGTAGAAATACTGACTCGGGAGAACATCGGTTGGCTGCCTCCTGCATGCCCCACACTGGGGATCAGGTCCACAACCTGGGCATGTGCTCTGACTAGGAATCAAACTGGCGACCTTTGGTGCATGGGTTGACACTCAACCACTGAGCCACATTGGCCAGGCTCCTTGCATCATCTTTAAAATGGAGGCCATCTTACCTGCCCCCAGGATTGCCACACAGACGAAATGACGCTCAGTGGACAGTTCCAGTGGATTTCTCTAGTGCCTGTCTCCTTGTCCCCCCCTGGCTGCCCAGCCCTGGGTGGGAGCTGAGCTAGGCCCAGAGGCTTGTTTAGTGAAGGCCTAGAATCAGGGACTTGCATGGGGGTTGCACAGCCCAGTGGTGGCCATGGTGGGCACTGGGACCTCACTCATTGCCAATGTGAGTGGGTCATCTGGGTAGGAAATAAGAGGGCATGGGAGCTGAGCCGGGGCCCTGAGGAGCTCCAGAATGCAGTGGGCTGCGGGGGCGGGGGGCAGTGCTTGCCTTTGGTGGACTCTGTTGAGCTCCTGCTGTGCATCTCAGGAGAGCCAGAGTGGTCTGGTCACGTGTCTGCCTCCGTCTCCTGCCTGGGGCTCCAGGGGACCAGGTCCTGTGGTCTTCCCACCCCCATGCGTTCATTCCACATTTGTTGATTGAGAACTTACTGTGTGGCAGGCTCAGCAGGGCAAATAAGATGGACATTTCGGAGGAGGAGGAAGGAAAGGGCCAGGCCTGCTCCCTCCGTGGCAGGAGGCTCCCTTCTTTCCTTGGGAACCTTCCCAGCATGGGCTGGCCTTGAGCAACCAGAGTCGAGTGGTTGCGAGCACCTCGCCCCAGGCATTTCTGGGAGTGACCTCATGTCTGGAGTGAGCTGAGACAGGGCGGCCGGGCCTGGCTCACGGTTTCCCTGACGGGCCTGGTGGGAAGGTGGGCGAGGACCGGTGGGAGGACAGCTCCGTGAGCCAAGGCTGCGTATGGCGTCGGCGCCTCCTGCCTTCCACCACCGGGGAGGTGGCCCAGGCACCTTATTGACAAGCTTTAGTCAGTGATGGTCGGTGTTCACATCTGCCTTGGGGAGATGGGCTCCACACAGGAGAGAGACCAGGAAGACATGCCCGCACCACAGTCCCCTCCAGAGCCTGCCCCCATCGTCCCCTCCAGAGCCTGCCCCCATCGGGCACCCACAACTCTCCACAGGCCCAGGGTGGCTCCTTAGCTAGAGGGTGTTTGTTGCTCTTGGCCCGCTCAGACCCTTTCTTGGAAAGGCCACTTTCCCTGGAAAAGTTAGGGGAGGCTCCGTAAAAGAGGCCACATGGAGTTGCATCTTGATAGCCGGTATCGTTCAAGCATTTACTGAACGCACACGTGCATCATCTCAGTTTATTCCTCCCAACAGCTCTATTTATTCCTTTCCTCTCTTACAGATGGGGACATAAGCACAGAGAGGTTAAGGAACTTGCTAAGGGCACACAGGGAAGGGTAGGCTCAGTCTCCGGCGTGCTCTGACTCCAAAGCCCTTCTCTTAACCACTTGGCCATATTGCCTGCCTTCTGGAAGCCCCACTGCGTGCTGAGCCCTGGGGTCCCTGCCCTGGAGGGTCCCACCATCTGTGGGGTGGACAGACATGCTCAGAGATGGCTGAGTCCTAGCTAAGCAGACTGGCCGAGCCGTTTCTGGAGTGATGATGTGAGAGCAGAAGTAGAGAGCTCACCCCTAGCCACAGAAGTACAGCCTGGTGAATGCTGTGTGTGCCATATGAACCGAGGGCTGTGGGGTCACCCACAGGGCCAGGGAAAGTCAGGGCCGGGGGAGAAAGGAGGAGTAAGTGGAAACTGTTGAGTTGGGCCTCGAATGATGATTTCTAGATGCAGAAGTGGGCAAGGAGGGAACACCCTACAAGAGAATTTTGTGCACAAAGACTCGGTCTCCCTAAAGAATGGGTGGTGGACATAAGAAGTGTCCCGGGCTCAGGACCGTGTCCCGAGTGTCAGTGACTGCACAGTGGCATCACGGGGCAGTGCAGGGCAGGGGGTTTGCCCCTGTGTGGAGTGGCCCAGGCAGCTGAGCCGTGTGATGCTGGGTCAGTTTTCCATGGGTTTTCTGCAGCCTTCCCCCACTGGCCACTGTGAGGCTGGCTGCTGACCGTCCTCCTTGTCAGCAGTCACCACTGCACCCCTTGGCGCTTCCAGGTGTGGGCACCGGGGTTGCATGGTGTGTAAGTAAGAGAACACAGGCCACGAGGGAGACCTGCAGGACCCTGTGTCTCAATGCATAAGTGCTGAACTTTTTTTTTTTTTCAAACTATAAGAGAACATTTATTTATAAAATCACAGAGGTGGAAGGAGTAATTCATAGAAGAAATGGGCTTAGGAAACAGGTTACAGAGGTAAAGGAAGGGCCCTTGGAGCTTAGAAGTGAGGAAAGCAAAGGTGACACACCTTGGGGGAGGGGGAGGGGAAGGGGGAGGGGAAGGGAAAGGTACAGGCTTGTATCCCGGAGGGAGAACGCACTGGGTCCTCTGTCCTAAGGGTTTTAAGGGTGTAGATTTTATAGGCGGTCTTAGGGGGAGATACCAATAGAATATTATCAGCGTTCCAGGTGTGTCCCTTCAAGGGTCAGTGCCAGGGCAGGGGGTCATTAGTGAATGCAGCTGGTCCTGAGATCAGCCATGATCTGGTTTTGCTGCTTTTGTGGGCCTGGAGCTGGAATACAACTGAGGCCTACATGGTATCTCTAAGGAGGAAAGGGCAGAGGGCCCAAACAGCATGACCAGCTAGTGGAGGAAAGGTCACCCCGGGGGTGTGGTCCCATCCTACAGTTGTCCCTTGCTAGGCACCAAGGGCTTTCTCCCCTGGTGACCTTCTGTACCTGGCCCATTTTCCTTGCTCTGCTCACATCTGCCTAACTGCCTACCACACCCCTCCTAGAGGATCTTGGCTCTGAATGCTTTCAGACAAAAGGGGTGCAGGGTCTCTTCTGTAGCTGCTTCCTGCTGCATAGGGGCGAGGTTTCCTCCAGAGAGACCCTCGCTCTCTGCCAGAGGGACGATGAGGCCTGGGCATGGAAGGAGGAGATGGGGTGTCTAGAGGTGGTATTCTCTCAGTATGGGTAGTACTTGTCTCCTGGTGGAGTCTGGGTGTCATGAGCCCCGGCTTGGCCACTTCCTGACGGGTGACCTTCTTTAAATGCCAGTTCTTCATCTGTACAATAGAGTTACCATGAGCATACCTGGTGAAGATTAAGTGAGGTATGTGTGCACACAGACCCTGTGTGGTCCTCCCACAGCTGCTGGCTGGACTCGGGAGACTCTGGGGGACCCTCGGGGTGGGGAGGTGACACTGCACAGAGACCTGGCCTGGCCATCTCACCCACTTGTTGGCAGCGTGGAACGTGTGAAACCTGTTATCCCTGTCTGGGCCTGGTGCAGTGACTGACCAGACCTCTAAGCACACATCACTAAGTGGCCCTCAGCTCCTCGGTAACAGCAGAGGGTCCAGGAAGACAGGCCACGGTGTGATCAAAGGCACAATCGTGTAACGGCCTGAGGGAGCAGCCCCTGGCCTGGAGCCTGGGCACACAGTCAGGAGGGCAGCCTGCCACCCGCTGTCCCTGGAGGCCTCTTACTGGAACCCGGCCTGGCAGTGAGGGGGATGAGCAGCTGTCAGCGCCTCCCCTGCCACGGGAGGAGCAGCCCCTGAGGCCTCCTGGGCCCATAGCTGAGTGAGAGCAGCCTTGGCCTAATGAGCTCATGGTCAGGGAGGGTGTGTGTCAGCCACAGACATAAGTAATTACCATCTACTCTCGTCAGGGGCTCCAACCAAGGGGGAGATTTATGGAGTTGGGGGAGCTGAGGCCTCTGCTCTGGGCAGGTGGGGTACAGAGAAGGTGCCAAGGTGTGGGGGGCACTTAACTAGGCCTTGGGATGGGCAGTGAGCCAGCCAGTGGAGCTGGGATATACTCCGCTTCTCCACCCGCCCACCCCAGCCTGTCCCCTCTGGCATGCAACCTTGGTCAGTGGTTTCCATCTCTGAGGCTCTGCTTCCCCATCTGTGCCAAGGGCCAGGAACCAGCCTCCTGCCTGCAGCTGCCTTGGAAATTCGGATTCCCCAGAGTACCCAGCCTGGTCCCTTGCCCACAGTCTGCCCGAATACCCAGGAGCTGTTACTGTTATTACTGTTTCTCCAACAGCCACAGTTGTTATTTAAGGCTGAATAGAATTGCACCTGTGGGGGAAGGGCATGCCTGCAGAGGGAACAGAGCTTCCTGAAGCTCAGAGGTGAATGTGTCAGGAAGTGGACAGTGGGCAGGAGGCAGGAGCAGTGGGGACAGGAGCTGATGGCAGAGCTGAGGGGAAGCTCTGGGCAGAGAGGATCAGGGATCAGCGAATGCCTGGTGCCTGTATCTTGGCTCTCAGGCTGTGGGAGGTGAGGTGGGCTCCTGGTACTCGGGGTGGGTGCCGCAGGCTTGACGCTGGGAGAGCCCTGATCAGCTTTGTTGCTTCCGCCTGGGTTCCCCAAAGCAGAACCTGGGACAAAACTTGTGGACCCCAGAAGCAAGAATGATAGGGGCAGAGGGAGAACCCAATCCAGGATGCTGCTAACTGTGACCGATGCTGCAGCCGGCGGGACCATGGTTCCAAGAAACCCAACAAAGTGGGAATCAGGACTGTGGGTGGGCCGGGAGGAAGGCAGGATGATCCAGACATCAGCAGCCTTCTCCCTGGGAGCAAAGGTTTGCCCCTGAGGCATCAACTCCCCCACATTCCCAATCATGCCCACGTGGGCACTGAATGGGGTCTCCTCAAGGGGAAGCCCTCAGTGAGAGGTGAAGGGTGAACCTTGGCTGTTGGGTTTTGCCCCATGAAGTTAGAGCCCAGCAGAGCTGGAAAAGGGGCCAGTGAGGCTGAAAGGGTCCAACTCTGGCAGCCACTGGAGAGGACAGCCCCAGGGAAGGCCTCCCTGAGGAGGTGGCCCTTGAGTCGGAAGCTAAACAGTGGAGCGCATTATGCAGATAAAGGGCAGAGGCATCAATCATATACATATATTTTTAATCCTCACCCGAGGACATTGTTTCATTTATCTTCAGATAGAGTGTGAGGGAGAGAGAGAAAGAGAGAAACATCGATGTGAGAGACACACATTGATTGGTTGCCTCCTGCATGATCCTGACTGGGCTCAGGGACTGAACCACAACCGAGGTTCATGCCCTTGACCAGAATCGAACCTGCGATTCTTTGGTCCACAGGTCGACACTCCAACCGCTGAGCCAAACCGGCCAGGGCGCATCAATCATATTAAAAGAGAAAATATATAAAAGAGCCTCAGACCTCCCTGGCACACAGTAGGTCCTCAAGTGTAGCTGCTGATGCTGCTGTTAGTAGCAGTAGTGTTGTGGTTATTTGTTCTAACAGAAGCACGAAGGCAAGGAGAGAGGAGGCCTGATCCTGGTAACGGATGGAGTTGTCCCATTTTACAGATTAGCAGCCGGAGGTTCTAGGAGGTGGGGTGACCTGTCCAAGTCACACAGCTGGCGAGTGCCACCACAGAGCATCCCTGGGCCGCCCCTGTCTCTGCAGGAATGCTCGCCCTACGCGGCCCACCTCTATGATGCCGAAGACCCGTCCACGCCCCTGCGGACGGTGCCCGGGCTCTGCGAGGACTACTGCCTGGACATGTGGCAGACGTGCCGGGGCCTGTTCCGCCACCTGTCACCTGACCGTGAGCTCTGGGCGCTGGAGGGCAACCGTGCCAAGTTCTGCCGCTACCTGTCCCTGCATGACACGGACTACTGCTTCCCACACCTGCTGGTCAACGAGAACCTCAACTCGAACCTGGGCCGCGTGGTGGCTGACGCCAAGGGCTGCCTGCAGCTGTGCCTGGAGGAGGTGGCCAACGGGCTGCGCAACCCCGTGGCCATGGTCCACGCCCAGGACGGCACCCACCGCTTCTTCGTGGCCGAGCAGGTAGGGCTGGTGTGGGCCTACCTGCCCGACCGCTCGCGGGTGGAGAAGCCCTTCCTGAACCTCAGCCAGGCCGTGCTCACCTCGCCCTGGGAGGGCGACGAGCGGGGCTTCCTGGGTATCGCCTTCCACCCCCGCTTCCGGCACAACGGCCAGCTCTTCGTCTACTACTCGGTGGGGGTCGACTTCCAGGAGTGGATCCGCATCAGCGAGTTCAGGGTCTCGGAGGACGACATGAACACCGTGGACCACAGCTCTGAGAGGTGCCTCCCTGGGGAGCTGGGCCAGGTGGGGTGCGGGGCTGAAATGCGGCCAGTAGCACCCAGCCGGCTCATGCTGTGCGCTGCATAGGTTATTACATGTTTCCGGTGTCACTCCGGGGAGGGGGCCGAACCCCACGCTCTGGAGTCGGGGGAGAGACAGTTGCCAAACAGACATCCCAGGGTCATGTCCAGAGTCCTGGATCTTCAGACAGTTCGTTTCACTGGGTTCTCATAAAGCCCAGGGAAGTTAGTGTTACTGTCCCATTTCATGGATGAGGAAGTGGAGGCCTCGGAGCTGAAGTGACCTGCTAGGTCGCACAGCCAGGAAGCATCCGAGCTGGAACCCTGGCCTGTCCAGCCCATCTCACGCGCCTCTCACCCCCACCCCACCACCATGGCCCCAGGTGATGGAGCCCTGGACCCTGCCCCCGCCCCTCCCCCAGCAGGTTGAGCGTTCCTTTAGCCTCCAGGCCTCTGCCCGCCTCAACTCTGTACTATTTATGCCCGACTGTTTCTGAAACAGGCTTAGCCTGAGCTGGTATGGAGGGCATGCGCGTCAGTCTGAGTCCTGTGGGAGAAGAAACCCCGCACCAGGTAATCCAATAGGCAGAACTGGACGTGGGAGTTACTGGGGTGTTAGGAATGACGGCAGAGCGCGTGGGGAAGCAGCGAGGAGACGGGGTCCAGCAGGTGAAGGAAGCTGCCTCTGCCTCAGGCTGGAGGACAAAGTGAGCAGGTGGGGGTACGGGAGCCCCGCAGCTGGGGCCATGGGCCCGGGCAGCAGGAGTTGGGTCCAGGAGGAGGTACCGCTAATGCCAAGATGCTGCCGGAAGAAAGAGAGATGGGGAGAAATGCCCTGGCTTCTCCCTCCCTCCTCCCTCCCTCCAGTCCCCTGCCAATGCCTTCATTGGCTGAGCCAGTTGGAGGCCACCAGGCAAAGGAGCATGGGAAATGTAGTTTTTAGGAACTGGCCCTCTGAAGTAGGAAGGGGAGGGGGGACAGGACTGGACCTGAGGGCATACAGGCAAATAACAGTACGTCATGTATTTGCTAAAACTGTAAAATGCTGACCCGGAAGTATCAGAGGAGAAGGGATCAAGTACGCTGGCTAATACAAGGGCTCCTGGAGATCTCGTCATGTAGCAGTGATTTTGGAGCTTCCTGGCAGCCAGAGTAAAAAGAGGAAACGTAATTCTGATGAGCTTACACGAGGCTGCACAACTAGTTCTCCAAGAGAGACCAAGCGTATGTCACCTAGATGTCACAGAGGGGAGACAGACGGGTGGAGTGGATGTGTCTTCAACAGTGACATTTAAAAATGCAACCCAAAATATATAAATGAACGTATTTCAGAGTGAGGGTTCAGCGAGGGTTCTCCTGGGACCTCGCAAGCACAAGCCGAGGCATAGCTGGCTCAGGGCACGGCCAGGAATGAGGGGACATTCTTGCCGGAGTCGGTGGTCGGTCTCTGACCCTAGGGATAGGATGCCAGTGGGAGGTGGACCACCAGCAGTCTGAGCTGTCCTGTGCACCGAGGGCCTGGAGTTTGGGGCTGTGTGTACTCGCCAAGGCATTTGCGTTGGCCTCACTTGGGAAGGCTTCCAGTCTTGGCTCTGAAGACCCAACATCCTGGGTTCAAGCTCTGGACCATTCCGTATCTCGGTTTTTCTAATCTCTATCAATAAGGGATTCGTAAGTCAGTGACCAGCCCTGGAAAATAAAATCAGCCCAAGCACTGCAGTCAGAGAGAATTTAATGCAGGGAGTTGGCTACAAAGGTGTCGGGAGGGCCGGAGAAGGAGAGGGGCTCAGGTTGTCTGCAGATTCGTGACGACGAGAGGCTGCTACCCCTTGTGGGCTAGAGGATCCCAAGCGGAACGGTCCGTGCTGCTCAGTTTACTGCCCCTGGTACCCAGATGTCTGGGCCGAATCCCAGGTCCACATTCATCAGCCACTGTTGCATCCTCGCGACTACCGCTCCCAGAGGCAGCGCCAGGAAGCGGGGCTCCTTTCCTCGTGCCTTCCGCTCTCCCCTGGCGAACCCTGACTGGGAGCCAGCTGGCCGGCCGGCAGAAGAGTGGAAGGCCCCCCACACGACCGTAAAGGAGGTTGCTGACGGGTGGGTGTGGAGGTGAGCAGAGCCCATGCCATGCAGCCCACCACTTTAGAAGGTACAGTAGACAGCCTGGTCGGTGTGGCTCAGTGGATTGAGCATCGTCCCGTGCACTGAGAGCTCCTGGTTCGATTCCCAGTCTGGGCACGTGCCCGGGTTGCAGGCTCCATCTCCTGGGGGCGGGGGGGCATTGCAGGAGGTGGCCAACCAATGTTTCTCCATCACGTCAATGTTTCTATCTCTCCCTTTCTTCCTCTCTCTAAAATGTCAATTTTCAAAAAGTTACAGTGGATAACAAATGAGCGAGTGTGTAGAAAGAGCTCAGCTTACGTGGCTGGTGTGTGAGTAGCTAGGGCTGATAGAGAAACCAGTTGCGTCAGGGTCAGTACTGCAAGATCATAATGGCATCGTAACAGGGCAGGTGCCAGCGGGGGCGGGGGGGGGCAGTGGACAGAGCGCTAGACCCGAACTAGCACACCTGAGTCCTAGTCCCAGCTCTGCTGCGTGACCTTGGGCAAGTCTGTCAACCCCTCTGAGCATCCAACTCCTCATTAGCACAGGAGAGTGAATTTGTAGAAACTATCAGCTGTAAAGGACAGGAAAAGTCTTTGCAATTGTGAAATTGTATCCAGGAGAGAACGGGTTTTATGGCTGTGATCTCGTTTTGTATTTTGGCTGAGGTTATTTTTGGGGGCCTGGGGACACTTCTCTTCTTTTAGGATAATCCTGGAGATCGAAGAACCAGCCTCGAACCACAACGGGGGCCAGCTGCTCTTTGGGGACGATGGGTACCTCTACATCTTTACTGGAGATGGCGGGATGGCCGGAGACCCCTTTGGAAAGTTTGGGAATGCCCAAAACAAGTATGTCTTGCTTCTGGTTGGCTAGTGGGCTGGTTTACCTACCCCTGGATGACATGCCGTTCGGGAGGGGAGTTACCTTGTCAGCCGCGAAGAAAGGGCAGCAGAAAGGGCCCTGGGCCCTAGCAGCCTGCAGCCAGCCAGCTGGAGACCCAGTCAGGTCTCCGCCTCTCACCAGTGAGGAGAGAGAACAGCACGTTCCCGGGCAGGCTTGTCATGAGGAGTAAGAGCAACCGTGTTTGTGGAGGCCCACTTGCCACAGGTACCTGAGAAGTGACATTAGAGGCCATCTGGGAAGACAGGGTTTTTTGGAAGTCAGCCCAGCTCTGCTGGATCCAGAGGAAAGAAAGGGGTGCTTCTCAGACCAAATAGGGAGCATGAGCTGCTTGGAGCAGGGCTGTGTGGGCACATGGATGTTCTGTCTAAGGATCACTCCTGATGGCCCAGACACTGAAGCATAGTTTTACTCTCAGTCACTTCTTGGCTTGAGCAGATGGCCTGCCGTCATCCCGCTCCTAGACACACACGCACACACACACACACACACACACACACACGCAGTCTTGTGAGTCTAACCGAGGCTCTTCCGCAGTCTCAGGGCAGCCTGCTCCACTCTCTGAGCCAGAAATGACAAAACCTTGCTCAGCCCAGAAAGCAAAAATAGAGAGTCTGATGTTGATTACGATAATTAAAGTGGTCACAACTTGTGACTCACACTTTCACATGTGACAGTGTAAGTAAGAGGCCTGGTAGCTTTCTCATGTTTGGGGTGAGCTGCGAGATAAAGATCAGAAAATAGAAATTAAGGATCTGTGGGTAATTGGACAGAGCTTAAAACACTATTTTGCCACTGTGGGTTTGCCCGCTTGCATCGGGAAGCCTGGTACGTAGCGCGTGGCTCTGTGGTGTGGTCTGCAGCTGCGTGGTGAGCAGGCTGGAGTGGATGAGAGGAGCCCTCGGGCTGGAGGGGGTTAACTGTGGGGCCTCTGTTGGGTGGGAGGACACTGTGAAATGTCTCTAACAAGGGAAATGCTTGGGTGCCGATGCTGGGTGAGAAGAATGGGTGCAGAGTTGCATCAGATGTGCAAAGCACGGCAGTCTGGCCTGGGAAGGCAGCCCGGAGGGAGCCCACCAAAACGCTACCAGCAAGGAAAAAGCCCAGGTGGTAATTACGTAGGTGCACCAGAGCTCACAGAGGGGACTGTGGTCCCCAGGGCAGTTCCCATCTTCAAGCACAAGACAGCTTTCCCCCATCAGGTGTTACTGTTGTCTTGTGATGAATGAAACCGACAAGCTGCTCACCTGCGGGAGCTACGCGGAGGTTAGAGTTGCTCCCCTGTTCTACGCGGCTGTGGAGGGCCCCAGAAGGCAACACTGCGTGGAGTGGTTTGGCTTCCAGTCCAGAGATGCCTGGGGATCTGGGACGTGATCCCCCTGGGTTGCCTCATCTTTTTTTGTTGTTATTGTTAATCCTCACCCGATAATATTTTTCCTTTTTTTTTTTTTTTAAGAGAGAGTGGAAGAGAGGGAGGGAGAGAGAAAGAAAAATATCGATGTGGATGTGAGAGAGATACACTGATTGGTTGCCTCCCACACGACCCTGACTAGGGCTCAGGATTGAACCTGCAACCCAGGTACTTGCCCTTGACTGGAAATCGAACCTGAGACCCTTTGGTCTGTGGGCCGATGCTCTAACTGCTGAGCCAAACCAGCCAGTGGGTTGCCTCATCTTTGAGATAGGGGTGACGGACGTACAGTGTGGGGTGAACTGAACCACACGAGGCCTGTCCGCTCTCTGACATGCTGTGGTTCTGCCCGAAACGCTCCTGGCGTGAGAGAGAAAGCACAAATTCAGCCTCGGGTTTCCTGCTAAGACCTGCAGTGTTCTCTTCCTCTCCCAGCCCCCCCTGTACTGTGTGGTGCACTCGACCTGGCAGTCCTTCATTCATTCGCTCAGCAAACACTTCTGAGCACCTACTGTGTGCCAGGCACTGTGCTGGGTCCTGGAAGAAAACGACACAAGTCATTTTTCTCGGAGCATTTCTTTGTACCCTGTAGCACACCCCTTCAGGAGGGCAAGAAAGAGGGACCACCCTCACGTTGCCACGAGGACACAGGCCTGAGGGGTTAGTACTGTGGACCAGACTGGGGGTTCTGCGGCCTGCCTGCCAGGACTGAACCCCAACCCTACCACTGACTAGCAGTGTGGCACCAGGGCACCTATGTGACCTTTCTGAGCTCACCTGCCCCATCTGTAAGATGGGGGTCACAGTAGTACCCACCTCCCTGACAGGGTTGTGAGGCTGAAGCGAGGCTAGAGATAGTACGTGTGTCCAGTGCTTGGGACAGGGCTTGGCGCAAAGACAGGTGCCTAGTGGCTGTTGAAGGAATGAAGGGGGTAAATCAGATGGTAAGTAGCTGAGGAAGACCTAACCGGGCCGGGGTCTCCGGCCCCACCGCGGAGGCTCGCCTTGCCCCTGGGCGGTGCCACTCCGAGCCGGTGCGCTCTCCCACCTGCCCGCAGGTCGGCGCTGCTGGGCAAGGTGCTGCGCATCGACGTGGAGCGCAGTGAGCGCGGCCCGCCCTACCGCATCCCGCCGGACAACCCGTTCGTGGGCGACCCCGCCGCGCGGCCCGAGGTCTACGCCCTGGGGGTGCGCAACATGTGGCGCTGCTCCTTCGACCGCGGCGACCCGGTGTCCGGCGCGGGGCGCGGGCGCCTCTTCTGCGGCGACGTGGGCCAGAACAAGTTCGAGGAGGTGGACCTGGTGGAGCGCGGCCGCAACTATGGCTGGCGCGCGCGCGAGGGCTTCGAGTGCTACGACCTCAAGCTGTGTGCCAACGCCTCCCTGGGTGACCGCGCCCTCGCCCCTCTGCGCTCCGGGGCCCCCTTCCCCTATTTACCCCGCCCCCACCTCCTCCCCGCGGTGTGTGCCAACGCCTCCCGGGGTGACCGCGCCCTCGCCCCTCTGCGCTCTGGGGCCCCCTTCCCCTGTTTACCCTACCCCCACCCCCTCCCCGCGGTATGCGCCAGCGCCTCCCTCGGTGTCTGCATGAGGCTCTATAGCGCGCCCATGGGGACCCCCTGATCCCAGATGCGACCTCTGCCCCTTGGGATGTGCGCCTATGCCTCTCTGCAGGGCACCCCACACCCCACCCGGACCTCACCTCACCTCTTCCCCCTTCCCAGTTCTCCTGGGATGCTCCTTGCTTTTCTCCCCACCTCACCCTCCACCCCCCAAATCCATGTTCTCTCCTCCTTAGGAGCTGTGAGCATCTCCTTCCCTTGGTGACCATCTAGGTCTCCATCTCTGGCCCTCCTAGTGACCTCACATCCTCTTGCCCAGCAAGACTCAGGACCGTCCACAGAGACTTGTTGTGGGGGAGGGGCTGATCCCTAAAACTCACCCCAGGCTCATCCCAGCTTCTCCCCACCCTACAGATGATGTGCTGCCCATATTCGCCTACCCGCACAAACTGGGCAAGTCGGTCACCGGGGGCTATGTGTATCGGGGCTGCGAGTACCCCAACCTGAACGGCCTCTACATTTTCGGCGATTTCATGAGCGGGTACGTGGCCTGACAGCAGGTCTGGGGGGGAAAGGAAGGGCAGAGGAGCAAGGTCGCAGGGACACCAACAACTTCCTAGACGGGCTCAGGGTCACCGGGGGCCAGACCTGACATTGCACCAGGTGACCAGGGCCCCAGGGTGCCTGGGTCCAGGAGGCCACCAAGCTGAAGAGAGGGGAACTGGGGCTCCAGCCCAGGTCAGAGCACCAGGGCCCCAGTTCCCACACTCTGACAGTGTGCCTCCACTGGGGGTAGAGCATACACCCCCATACCTGCTGTGGGCAGGCTCCTTTCCCAGGGGAGCTTATGGGACCCCATGACCACCTCATTCTCCCATTGTACAGAAAAAAATACTGAGGACCAGAGAGGCCCAGGGAAGACATACACCTGGTACGATGCTTGACAGTGCAGTTGAGGTGGCCTGGGTCTGAATCCTGGACCCTTACTGGCCGTGTGACTCTGAGCCAGTTACTTGACTTCTCTGTGCTTCAGTTTCTTCATCTGTAAAATGGAGCTGATAACAGTAGCTGCCTCCAAGGTTTTTTCAGGACTGAGTGCATTCATACACACACAGCACTTCGAGTTAGTGCACATCCAATATCTGGTGGTGATTGACTGTCCCCACTCTGGACGACACCGAGGGCAGCTGGTCCTCAGGAGAAGTGAGGAATTAAGGGAGACTGAGGCTGGCAGGAAAACCCTCACCTCTTGCAGACTGCTGACCTGGGTGGGTGTGTGGCCAGTCAGTCTGCCCCTGGAGCTGAGAGAGCCCAGACCTGGGCCTCTGGGTGCTGGATCCTTAGCTCAGCTCCACCCCTCCTTGGGGTCTGCCTCTGGGACTCAGCTATCCCATCTGGGAAGTGGGTCTAGATGAAGCCTGTTTTTACCCCAATTCTACTATCTCCCAAGTCACCTGACTGCAGAAATTTAACTAATTTCCCAAGCCCGTCTGCAGGGTCAGGCTTTGTGCCAGGGCCAGAGCAATAGAGGTGAAGAGTACCTGATGCCCCAGTCATGGAGACAGACAGTCGGTCTACTCTAGTCCAGCCTCCGAGAGCCTGTGCACAGTGCTGTAGAAGCCTGTTGTGGGCAGTCAGGAGGGCTTCCCAGAGAAGGGGGCAGTGAATAAGGCCTGGAAGTATCAGTAGGTAATTGACAGATCAGCATACTCTGAAGGTGCCCAGGCTCCATCTCGTGCTCTGAAGTGGAGGCAGCTCCAAAGTGTGTGGGCACTGGGCACCAGCCTGGCAGGGTTCTGAAATCCTTAGCTTCAGACTGCCTCCTGCTGGTCGGTGGGCAGGACTGAGCTGAAGGACAGGAACCCAGTTGGTCCTTTGGTCTCTGTGTGCCTTCCCCCACATGCTTCTCTGGTACATAGTAGGTGCTCAGTAAAGACTTCATGCAGAGCCAGCTTCATGGGCTCTCGCTGAGATGGGTCTCGTGCTTGGCTTAATGCTCTGCTGACACTGTCTGGGAATTCTTTTTTTTTTTTATCCTCACCCGAGGACATTTTTCCATTTTTTGTTCAGATAGAGTGGGAGGGAGAGAGAGAGAGAGAGAGAGAGAGAGAAACATCGACGTGAAAGGGACACATCGAGTGGCTGCCACCCGCACAACCAACCAGGGCTGGGGACTAACTGCAACCGAGGTACATGCCCTTAGCGGGAACCGAACCCAGGTCTCTCGGACCACAGGCCGATGCTCTAACTGCTGAGCCAAATCGGCCAGGGCAAATTCCTTTTTTTTTTTTTCTTTATTGATTTTTAGAAAGAGAAGAAGGGAGAGGGAGAGAGAGATAGAAACATTGATGAGAGAGAACATCGATTGGCCACCTCCTGCATGCCCCCCACTGGGGATTGGACCCACAACCTGGGCTTGTGCCTTGACCGGGAATCGAACCAGCATCCTCTTGGTGCCTGGGTCGACGCTCAACCACTGAGCCACACCGGCCAGGCTGTCTGGAGGTTCTCAGCGTTTTTAGAACAAGGGGCCCTGCATGCTCATTCTGCACTGGACCCTGCAATTGTGTAAGGTCCTAGCTGTGTTGGGGGCGGCAAGAACACAGCTCCTGGAGGTAGGTCACACCAGGCCCTCTGTCCTAAGGGTTTTAAGGATGGAGAGGTTAGGGGAGGTCCCGGGAGAAGATCTCAATAGAAGAGTCAGCAGCTTTCCAGGTGTGTCCTTTCGGGTCCGCATCTGCACTGATTGATTGACTGATCGGTGCCAGGGCAGGGGGTTGTTATCCAGTGCAGCTGGTCCTGAGGTCAGCCCTGGTGTTGCTTGTCTGGTTTTGCTGCTTTTCTGGGCCTGGAGCGGAAATACAACTGAGGCCTACATGGTCTCTCTAAGGAGGAAAGGGCAGAGGGTCCAAACAGCATGACCAGCTGGGGGAGGAAAGGTCCCCCCGGGGTGAGCCCCACCCTACAGTCGTCCTTTGCTGGGCACCCAGGGCTTTCTCCCCTGGTGACCTGCACCTGGCCCGTTGCCCTTGCTCTGCTCACGTCAGTCTAACTGCCCGCCAGAGTTGCAGATAATAGATGAGCGGACGGATGGGTGGGTGCTGGGGTTCCCCTGCGCACCACGCCAGGCCTGACCCCACAGCTCCTCTTCCTTGCAGGCGTCTGATGTCCCTCCAAGAGAATCGGGGGACAGGCCAGTGGCAGTACAACGAGCTCTGCATGGGCCGTGGCCAGACCTGTGCGTTCCCAGGCCTCATCAACAACTACCATCCGCACATCATCTCCTTTGCAGAGGACGAGGCCGGTGAGCACTCCTGGGGCCTCTTCGTCCCGGCTGGGCTGCCGTGTCTGACTGCTCCCCCTGCCCCATGGGCCCTTCCGGCCTGGGGGTCAAGGATGGGGTCTTGGGCCTGAAACCACCTGCGGGATGAAGAGTGCCATGCTGGGGCACCATCCTCCCCGCCCCTCCGGCCCCTGAGGTTGCCGGGAGGATAGTATGATGACTCGGAGCGTCCAGGGCAGTGAATGCAGGGAGCAGGAAGGTCTGTGCGTGGTGGAAATGCAGGCGGGGGGAAGGGTGTCTCCCCGGACCTTCACCACCCTGGATTCCTGATGGCAAATGCATCGGGACCTATAAAAGGAAGCCACCCTGTCTTCGGAAAGTGAGTAGACACCCTCCTTGCCGGTTAGTGGGTCTCTCATTCAGGCACTTGCGTTTTCAATGCAAGGAACTGTGGGGGAAGGGAGAGGAAGAGGGGCCACGGGGGCTGGATCCGCTCCAGCCTCCTGCCTTTGTCCTTGGCCCTGGATTGTCCCTGGACAAAAGACCAGGGGCCCACAGTGGGGCCTAGTGGATGCTTGGCCTCGTTGCTGGGCAACACCCACCAGGGGGCCTTTTGAGGGGTGTCCCCTGCAGAGCCCAGTGCCTAGAGCCCCCAGGCCTGAGTGTGGGAAACCTTTGTTGAAAGGACACCCATCAGAATCTAAATTCTTCCAAAGGGCAGCCCCAGCCCCCACTGCCCTCCCCAAGCCCACTGGGCCCTTGAAAACCCTTTCTTTTGGTCAATAGGGGGTTAACATGTTTTGGAAGGAGAGGTGCTCTCTGTCTACCCTCCCCACCCTAAACCCCCCACAGAGAGGCATTTCCCAGGGGCCCTCACCCAGCCCTCTGAGTGGCGCTGAGTGATGTGACAGCCAGGCGGGGCCCTCCGAGACAGACAGCCCAGGGACAGCCTGTGGGCAAGCTCGGGCAGGTGGCCCCTGGAAAGCATGCGCTCTGGGGTCCAGCGCAAACAAACCGCTCGCCGCTGCAGCGCCAGCCCCCGCCTCGCTAGCTGTTCTTCGATCCTTGTAAATTGCTGAACAAGGACCTCTGCTGGCCCGGTGTCCTCCAGGGACAGTGCACATCACAGAGACCCAGAGGGCAGCGTGGCTCTGGGCAGCCGGTGCCCATGGGGGCTCCTTGCCTGTGTGTGGGGCTGGGGCCCCGGCTCCCAGCAGATCAAGGCTGGAGGGAGCCATGGAGTGAGCCTGGCCCAACCCTGTCACTTTACAGATGGGGAAACTGAGGCGACGATTGGTGCTCAGTCGTGGGTGGGGAGTACTGTGCCCAGCCTGGTGCCCGGAGGCCTCCCAGAGCAGGGCCTTACACTTGAGTCTGGCCGGCTGAGGGAGACGGCAGAGAGGCTTTCTAGGCTGGGGAAGCCGAGGTTGCAGGGAGCCCTGAGGTGCTCCAGGGGCCTAGAGGGTTCATGGGAGGGCTGCGCAGCCAGGAAGGGGACAGTGGCTCTCCAGGGCCTCTCTCCAGAAAAAGACCCAGGACTCAGGGTGGCCTGAGTCCTGGCTTCCCAGCCGCCAGGTGCCCTACATCAGCATGGGCTTGGGCGCAGGGCCAGTGCTGAGACCTGGGCCTGGCTTACCCACGCCCCAGCTCTGTGACTCTGGACAAGTTGCTCGACCTCTCTGAGCCTCTGTTTTCTCATCTGTAAGATGGGGAGAATGAAGCCTGTTTCCGGGACATAGGTCCTCTGGCAGCAGGGGCCAGGTTCCCTGAGGGCGCACAGGGCGCTGGGTGCTCACAGCTCCCCTCGCGGCCTTCTTGTTCCAGCGCCCAGAGGTGGGCACAGGCCCAGGGGGCGGCCCGGGCTGCGGGTGCTCAGCCGGGCTGAGGGCAGAGGCTGGAATCCACACGAGATGCCGGGGCTGGCACTGCGCCTGCTGGTCAGTGGAGACAGACCGGCCTCCGGGACGTGGCAGGACCCAGATCGCGGCCGACAGTGACAGCCGCAGTAACAGCTCCTGCGGACTGAGCACGCGCTGTGGGACCTCTTATCCAAATACCTCCTGTGAGGCATTTCGTTCTGCGAGGAGGACGCTGAGGCTCAGAGAGCTCATATGCCCGCATCTCCCAGCAGGCACTTAGTGGGGAGCTGGGCATGGACCCTCGTTGTGCCCAGAGGCGTGGGGTGCTGGGTGTGAAACCCAGGCAGGTTCCCGGGGCCGGGGCACCAGGAGGGAGCAAGAGTAGAAGTCAGAGCCGGGGTGGGTCGGGGCTGAGTGGCCGCAGCCCTGGAGACTGTGCCGCAGAGGCTGGGCAAGCCGGGACGCCTTTCTCGGGCTCAGCTTCCAGTCCTGGGCACTGAGAGCTGCCTGGCCCGGACCGCCTGCATGGCTCGCCCCTGGTGCTGGGTTTCCCTCAGAGCCCGAGGTGGGGGCACCGGGCTGGCCGGGTGGTGTCCAAGCAGCGCATTCACTCCTTGCCTTGTTTCTCGTCCCAGGGGAGCTGTACTTCATGTCAACGAGCATGCCGAGCGCCACAGCGGCACACGGGGTCATCTACAAAATAAGTGATCCCTCCAGGTGAGTCCCCCGCCACGGCGTTGCCGCAGGTGTCTTCCAGGAGCCTTCGCCTCCGCTAGGTCCCCAGGTGGATATTATTCATATCCCCATTTCTCAGATGAGAAAACTGAGGCCCAGAGAGGGGACCTCTGGTGCTGGTGAGGGGCAGATCCAGAATTCAAACCCCAGTCCGTCAGCTTCCAAGTCCACCTCTGTCCATGATAAGAAGGAGTCGAAGATACTATGGGGGCCGATAAACACACGCCCCATCATCACACTTAAAAAAACAATTTAAAAAGTTTAGAATAGTTTTAGGTTTACAGACAAGTTCAAAGATAATACAGAGCTGTTCCCAAATACCCCTCACCTCACCCAGTATCCTTATCTCTCTGTCTGTGTATCTATCTCTATTATTTAAATATTTTTTCATTGATTTTTTTTAGAGAGGAAGGGAGAAAGAAATAGAAACCTGGATGTGAGAGAGAAACATCCATCGGCTGCCTCCTGCACGCCCCCCCACTGGGGATCAAGCCCACAACCCCAGGACCTCTCAGTCCCTGGGACCACACTCAATCCACTGAGCCATTCCCGCCGGGCTAGTTTTCTCTATTATTTAAATGGTCTACATTATTATGGTACCTTTGTCACAATTAATAAACAATATCGCTACATCACTATTACTTAAACTCCATACTTCTTTTTTAAATTGAGGTAACTCTGCACTTAAAAAAAAAAAAAAAAAAAAGAACGTCTCTACTTTTTTCTGCTCCAGAATCCCACGTTGCATTGAGTCATTGTGTATCCTTAGCTTCCTGTGGGCTGACAGCTTGCAGACATTCCTGCTTGCCACACGTTCTCAAAGCCCGGTTCTACCCGTGACTGGGATAACCGTTTCTCAAGAGAAACAGACGCACGTCCTCTTCCCATCTTCACCTGGGCAGTGCCAGGATTGGCGTCATCATGGAAGGGCGAGTGTGAACTTGGCATTTTTCTCTGTTCCTTTTCCCCTGTTTTGTATAAACATTTCCTCATTGCAACACCACCCTCAAAAGGATGGTTTTTAGTGGCTGCATGATTTTCTGTTGAGTCACTGTGCCCCAATCGCCTGCATGCCTTAGGCATTCCCAATGTTTTAAATCAGAGTGCTTCTCCGGGGGAATGTCACATTTACGGAGCACCGAATTCGCGCCAGGTGCCGCCTTGGACCTGTCACGGCCGTGGTTTGTGCAGCACGTTGGTTTATTAGCTCCCATGGCCGTGGCTGTGGGCACTTCTGCTCAAGGTCTCGTGGTGGGAGGAGCCAGAGCCCGGCCAGACTTCTTCCCTCTCCCTCCCTCCTTCCTTCCCTGACCCTTCTCATCCCTTTCATTTTTCTCTTTTGGAATAAATGTGTTTCTTTGTCCTACAACATGTTGCAAGGAGGACTCACTACAGAACATCTGGAAAATGAAGAACCGGGGAGTGGAGTGGGTGCGGCCGGGGTCATCCGTTAACACCCAAACATAACTTATACTGTGCCATATTTTTTGTGCATCTCCTACCTTTTGCATAACAAAAACTTTTTACATCACTTCCTTAAGGAACAAAGCCCTGCTGGGTCTGTGTGGAGTGTGTGGGTATTATCTGGGTTCGGGGCAACCGGAAAGCCCACCCTCCACAGCTCTGACTAGTGTGTGTGCCTCCTGTTTCTTCAGTCTGGGGCGGGGGGCGCAGGGGGAGGCCCATGTCCCTCCTCGGTTGCCCTCTTTGGCCAGGCCCGCCTGGAAGCCACCGTGTCACGTGGCTGCTTCACCCCCCTGGGCTTTCCCCCTAAGCTAGTGGAACCTATTGAAGTCTTGTACCCACGTGGTGTGTCCCAGCATCCGTCGGTCCCATTCAAAGACTCACAGATCGACAGCCAAAAACTAATTAAAACGGAATTCCGTCCCTTACTGGTGCCCTTCAAGATGTCAGAAGAGCCCAATTCATAGTCCTGCCAACTTCTTGGACTCTATTCTCTCCCAACTCTCAGCCGCCCCCTCCATGGCCCCCGGGTCCCCCAGCTCTGCTGCCAACCCCGAGACTCTCTCTGCCCCGTTTCTTTAAACTGCCTTTCCTCCTGGTTCCTCCAGGCAGAGGAAGCTGTTTCCGCATCACCAGACATCCAGGAGCCGGAGGGGCAGAGACCCTCCTCAAAGGCTGTGGGGCCGGGGGCAGGGTGGGGTTACAGTACAGGAGTCAGACTGGCAGACTACGGGAGGAGGAGGGACATTTGATCGTGTTCCAAGGACAGGTCATGCCCTGAGTTAAAAGTGGCTCAGGTGAGCCACTGGCCCTCGTGCAGAAGCTGAAGGGCCCCGGGCAGGTGGTTATGAGGGATTCCTGTCCTGGGATTGGGCTTTTGCAGATCCCCAGGGCAAGGAGCACGGAGTACCCTGCCTGCCACACAGTAGGGGCTCCATCGATGGCCACTGTTGTCCTGTCTACATCTGTCCAGGCCTGAAAGCACACTGGCCCTTCCCCTCCCTGCCTGGCTATGTCAGGCAGGGCAATGTCCGAGGGACAGGCTCCTAGGGCAGGGCTCATGACCTCCTGTGTGTTTGCAGACGGGCACCCCCTGGCAAGTGTCAGATCCAGCCTGCCCAGGTGAAGGTGAGGAGCCGCCTCATCCACTTTGTGCCCAAAGAAAGTAAGTGCCCACCGACCGGGACACAGTGGGTGTGGGGGGAGAAGCTCCCACAGCCACACCCTATGGGTCCTCCCAGTTGGACCTGGGTGCCCTTCCTCGGCCCCTGGGCCTGGGCCTGTGCTGGGCACACATTGGACACTCAGTTGAAGTGGGCAGTGGGTGCCAGTCCTAGGCTGTGGGTGGGTGGCCACAAGGGGCTGCAGGTCTCGAAAGGGGCACGACAAAGGGAGGAGTAGCTGTTGCCAGGGAAGGTACATTCAGGTTTTGTGAGAGGGACAGGGAAAGAGGGTGTGTCTGTGTGTGAGCAAGGAATATGGGAAGGAGTTATTAGGGCTCAAGGGCCCCTCGGGGAGGGGTGCCTGGGCTGGGCCTGCCGCGAGATGGCTCCACTTTGACAAGGTTGGTGGGGGGGGTGCCAATCTTCATGACCTGAGGGGCCGGGCAAGGCCACCAGTGACTGCCCCTGGCATCAGGGCCTGAGGCCTGAGAAAGGCTGTTCGATGTGGCTCAGGCTGGTGGGAACAGAGGCCAGGGTTCCAGACCTTTCAGTTCTTTTTTTTTTATCCTCACCCGAAGGGCATTTTTCTATTTTTCTATCAGCTAGAGCAGGAGGGAGAGAGAGAGAGAGAGAGAGAAACATCGACGTGAAGGGACACATCGAGTGGCTGCCACCTGCACGACCCAACCAGAGCCGGGGACAAACTGCAACCGAGGTACATGCCCTTAGCGGGAACCAAACCCGGGTCTCTCCGGACCGCAGGCTGAAGCTCTAACCGCTGAGCCAAACCGGCCAGGGCCAGACCTTTCAGTTCTTAGGAGCAGGAAATCCATCCGTTAATTATTTAATTCATCCAGTTAGCACCTCCATGTGCTTCGTTCTGGGGACATAACGCTGAGCAAGACGGATGCCGTGTCTGCTAGAGTCGTCACGTACAAATCTGTCCGTTTGAAAATGCCGGCTTTTCAAAACCCCCTGGTGGGCCAGGTGCACCCAGCAGGGCACCCGCTGGCAGACTGGGTGGGGGCTGCAGGAAGAGGGGAAGGCTGGGCACCTGGTGGCTGGGGTGCCTGGCCCTGAGGAAGGGATACCCTGGGTCGAGAAAGTTGGGGGAAGAGATGAGCTCCGTGTTTTGGGGAAGTCGAGTCTAACCTCGGTTGGCTTCGGGCCTTGGCCAGTTTTCCACGCACTCATTCAGCAGTTTCTGGCGCTTCTGTGAGAAGTCAGACCAGGCCCTGTCCTGGCTGGGACACACAGAAATGTCATCTAGTGTCCTAGGCCCAGTGACAGAAGTGTGTGCCGGGTGCCATGGGGACCCCGAACCGTGCAGGATGAGGGTGGTGGTGGTCTTGGTGCAGAGGCTGAGGGTCGAGCCTGGAAGGAAGCGGAAGGGTGGGGAGGGCAATCTGGGCGGAGGGAATAGCAAGAAGCAAAGCAGAAGCCAGGCAGCCGGGGGGCATGCAGGGGTGGCTTCTCTCTGACCAGAGGGGCCCTGGGCAGTCTGGTTCTCACCCTGCCCGCCTGCCGTGGCCCCTCAGCAGTTCTCCCCTAGTGGGCCTCGGCTTCTTCACCCTTAAGCCAAAGATTGGAGCCAGAAAGGGTCCCTTGCTTTGCAAAGCCCTCCCAGACACGCCTTCCCTTCCACTGAGCTCCCAAGTTTACAGTGTGAGGGTCTGTCCCTCCTCCCCCACCTTCCCAAGACTGGGACTCCCAGGAGGGCAGGGCTGGGAGCAGGGGGCGACTCAGCAGCAGACGGGCACAAAGCAACCGCCAATGAGTGTTTGCAGAATGACCGAACAAGCGCCTTGCACCCAGCTCCAGGTTCACGTCCAGAGTGACCCAAGAGGCACGCCAGCCTCAGTGTCTGAGTGCAGGGTCTGCATTCCGGGGTGGAGAGCTGGGGTGGCCAGGGTCGCTCTGACCGCAGGCTCTTCCTCTGTGCAGAGTTCATCCGGAGGGCCGAGAGCACCCCGCGGCCCACAGCCGGAGCGCCCACCAAGGTGCCTCGCCGAGGCCGCCCCACGGCTCCTCGTCCCGTGCCCACCCCGCGCCCAACTCGGCCCACCCCGCGCCCGGCTCGGCCCACCCCGCACCCAGGGGGACGGAGGGTCAATGGGCGGCGGGGCCGGCCGGGCAAGGAGAAGCCCTCGCCCTCGAATGGCGCCGTGCGCCTGGTGCGGCCGGCGGGCCTGAGCGCGGGCCGCGGGCGGGTGGAGGTGTTCGCCGGCGGAAGATGGGGCACTGTGTGTGACGACGGCTGGGACTTCAAGGCCGCCACCGTGGTGTGCCGCCAGCTGGGCTTTGCGCACGTCCTGCGGGCCACCAAGAGAGCCGAGTTCGGGGAGGGCCGCTCGCTGCCCATCCTGCTGGACAACGTGCGCTGCGCCGGCCAGGAGAAAACCCTGCTGGAGTGCGAGCACGCCGGCCTGGGCACGCACAACTGTCGGCACGAGGAGGACGCGGGCGTCGTCTGCAGCCACCAGGACCCTGACCTGGAGCGACCGTGATCGGTCAGGCCTGGCTGTCCGCCCTCGGGTTGGAGCCCGGCAGGGCCCTCCCTCCGTGCGTGCCTGGTGCGTGCACACGAGTCTAAGGGTGGAGGCGGCCATGGGTGTAGCGTAGAAGGTGGCACATCTGAACTGTGGGTGTTCCTGAGGTGTGCACCGCGCAGGGTGTTCTCCGTGCGCCCTGTGGGTGTGTGGTCCTGGGCAGGAGGCAGTCTTTTCTTACCTCTGAACCGCAGCAGGAACACAGCCTGGCCTCGAACGCTGAGCACCGAGGGGAGCTGCCCTTCGAAGGCAGACACGGCCCCTGGCTGTGTTAACGGAGGCATAGTGGGTGGGCTGAGGGAGGGGACCAGGCCTGCCCTGCCATGGCTGGAGTGGAAGGCCCTAGACCAGCTGAGGAATGTGGCCTAAAGCACATGGACCAGTGGCCTAGCGATCAGTGTTGCTGAGGAGAACAGGGAGGCATCAGGCCAAACAGAGGCCTTCAGGCCCTGGGTCAGGTGACCCCTGGGCCATGGCTGCCCCAGTGACCCGTGGGCAGGCTGCCTGGGAAGAAGCTAGCGCCTGGGGAGGGCTGGCTGGGCGGTGGGAGCAGTGGATGACCTCTGGGAGGAGCCTCCTGGTCACCTTGGACCTCATCATTCTGTGGGGCCCATGTGGCGCTCTGGGGGGAGGGTAGTGGGGCCCCCGTCCCAAAGGCCTGACTCTGCCCTGCTCCTCCGCACAGAGCCACCGGCCACTCCCAGTATCCAGGCCCCGGGTGACTGGGGGCACTTTAGGCTTCTCCACTTCCAAGGCTGTGTTGGGGCCTTTGGGGTCACCTGTGTCATCTCCAAACCTAGCCCTGCTCAGTGACATCCCAGGGATCCCTCCCAGTCCTCCAGCCCATCCCAAGGCCGACCGGGCTGTGGGCCCAGAGAGACGACTGATGCTTTGTCACCCAGGGCTGTGCCCACACGTGACTGTTTACAAGCCTCCTCCTGCTGCTCCTCACTGACCCGCGCCTGCCTGGGAGCCGGGGTGAGGGGTGGGCCTGCAGCCTCCCTGTGCTCACAGGCAGAAGCTTCTCTGACCACTGACGGCCTTGGCCCCGGCTCGTGCCAGCCTGTGGAGGGGTCAGTACTGCTGGGCTCAGGCTCTGATAGGGGCGCAGGGACAGTAAGCAGATGGTCACTGGGCAGTGAGGACAGGAGCGGGCTCGTGTGGGGGCCGTGGGGGCTCCGGGTGGGGCAGCCCAGGCCAGCCCGTGTTCCAGGGCAGAGCAGCCTTGTGGTGGCCAGGAACCGGCTCCGTGAAGCTCTGCTCGCTGGAGCTGAGCGGGAGCCCGGGCCGCAGGAGAAGGCTGCAGGCTGGCCCTCTCCAGCTCCTCCCTCTGCCCTGAGCAGCGTGGCCTGGGCCCGGGCCCTTGGGTCTCGTCTGGCCTTGCGGAGCCCCTCGTGGGAACCTCGGTTAGCCCGCCACGGCGTGTGGCCTTGGTGCTGGTCACTGTTGTGAGACCTCCCAGCCCGCATGCACTCAGCCCTCACAGCGGCCTCCCCTCCCCTTTACAGACGGGACACTGAGTTGCACCGAGGTTACGCATCTTAACCGAGGGCGCCCAGGTGGGGAGGGGGGAAACCATCTGCTTACTGTCCCTGCGCCCTATCAGAGCCTGAGCCCAGAGCCCTGCTGGCACCCTAACCACTGCACTCCTGAGAAAGGTGCCGCTAGGCCGAGTGGGGTGCCTGCTGTGGGCTGCCAGTCTGACTGGGGAGCAGCTGATGAGACCCCTGTGGGTGCCTCCTGCCCAGGGCATCCAGGGGTGGTTGACCGGGCACCTTCCCAGGGTGCAAGGTGCCCATTGTCCATCCACACCAAACTCCTCACTGTGCAGGTGGGGACACAGTCCGGGGAGGCTGTGTCCAGGCCTGTGGCTGTGAAGGGCCGAGCTGAGACTAGAGCCCAGGGAAGGTGGGGTGGCCCTCAGGGTGGTCCCTCTGATCCAGAGTCAGGGGACGGGTCGCAGCAGCCTCTGCCTCCTCTTCCTGGACCCCTCCATGCCTGTCCCCATGCTGCTGAGCTCCCCTCCTCATTCCAAGGCCTGGAGGCCGTGATGCCACAAGGTGGGGGCTGGAAGGTGGGGCGGCATCTCCGCACCAACCGCCCGGGGCCACCCTCTGGGGCCCTTAGCACCATCCCCAAGTGGTGGAGAGGAGTGGTCCCGCCCTCAGCTGGGGCCCTGAGCCTCACTGCTGTTGCCGGGGTAACTGGGGGAGTCCAGGCCTCTCCGCTCCTCTGGACAGTGCTGGCCTCAGCCTGCCGGTCCCCTGGGCAGGGTCCCCCCACCCCCACCCCCAGGCTCCAAACAAGGGGCTGTGGCTGCCTCCTGGGAAGGAGATGACAGCAGGCTCATTGCTCCTACATAGTCCTAATGAAGGTGGGCAGCTGACGTTTGTTGAGCACTTACTACATGCTAGGCACTGTTGTAAAAGTTTTACCATCACCCACTCATTTAATCCTCATCTTTTTTTTAATACAAAACTTTTTGTTTTAATTTGTTAAAGCCCTGGCTAGTTTTGCTCAGTGGTTAGAGCGTCGGCCTGTAGACAGAAGAATCACAGGTTCAATTTCTAGTCAAGGGCATGTACCTCACTTTTGGGTTCCATCTCTGGCCCTGGTCAGGGTCGGGTGGGAGGTAACCAATCATGTTTCTCTCTCTCTCTCTCCCTCCCTTTCTCCCTCCCACTTTATCTGGGGAAAAAAAAAAAAATCAATGGAAAAATATTCTCGGGTAAGGATTAAAAAAAAAAGGTATAAAGTGTTATTGAGTCCAGCCAGTGTGGCTCAGTGGATTGAGGGTCGTCCCATGGACTGAGAGGTCCTGGTTCGATTCCTGGTCAGGGCGCAGGCCCGGGTTGCAGGCTTACTCCCCAGAAGGGGGCGTGCAGAAGGCAGCCAATGGATGTTTCTATCTCTCTTGCCCTTCCTCTCTCTCTAAAAAATCAATAAAACATATTTCTAAAAATTTTATTGAATGTATTGGGGTGATGGTTAATAAAAGGATATAGACCTCAGGTGTACAGCTCTGTAATACATCATCTGAATATTGTACTGTGCGTGCATGTAATCCTCATCTTAACTGTGAGGCAGGTGCTAGTTACCACTCCCCATTTACAGATGTGGAAGCTGAGGCCCAGGGGGGCTTAGTTACTTGCTAAATGTCACAGCTAATATTTGAAACCAGGCAGCCAGGCTCTGGAGCCCTAGCTGTGGCTGTCACACTGTGCTGCCTCAAGAGCATTGAATTTAGTGCCCCATCATCAGGCCCTGCCATTGTGCAGATGGGGACAAGTCCAGGAAGGAGCAGAGCTGGTGCTGACTCCGTGTCCAGTGCTTCTTTCACTCCTTTGTCTGTGGCTCGTCAGCTGAGAAGCATTCACAAGTGACTGTTCCAGGGACTTCCCTGCCTTAGAGTCCTTCAGGGTCTCTGAGGATGGGGTATGTAGTCTGGGACTGGCTCCCCCTGCTCCCTCCAGGCTTCTGCCCTCACTCCCTCTAATCTGTTCCCCACACAGCAGCTAGAGGGTCACTCAGAACCTGACCCAGAGAGGGGCTCCTCTGCCCAGCGTCACACAGCTTAGTTCCGGGAAGCCTCCTCCATCCTCTGACTACAGGAAAAGCCCCGTGTCCTTGGCAGCAGGACAGCTGTAGTTAGTGACTGAAGGCTGGCAAGCTAGTGGACACCTCCAGTTCCCCAAGGCATCCCTGTGTTTACACCTTGCAAATGTTTGACTTTGAGGCTGGACACTGGGGCTCCAGCCTCAGCTGTGTGGCCTTGGGGAGGTCACTTAACCTCTCGGAGCCTCATTGGAGCACAGCAGGATTATTGGAAGAAAAACGAGGTAACATTGGCAAACATGTTCAGCTCATTCCAGGTTGCTTCCTGGGTAGAAAGCTCAATACCAGGCTGGTGGTGTCCACACTGGCAGCTGACCACTGCACAGTGGGGTGGGGAGGGCTACGCCCTGTGGAGGGACCACAACAGAATGACCTGGGGAAAATCCTCAAAACGGGAGGAAGACGAACCCCTTCACGCTAACGTGTAGAACAAACATCTTCTTGAGGGGACATAGGTCCTCTAACCACCTTGCTAAGAAGTAGCATTTATTGAGCTCTTACTATATGCCAAATTCCTCGGGTGTGCTGGCTCATCTAATGCTCACAATGACCCCAAAGGGCACCCTTTTCCAGGTGAGGGGGTGGGCCCCCAAGGTGGCTACGTAACAGGTCTTACGTGCCATGTTAAGAGGGCAAGGCAGTTTTGAACCAAACTCCTCTCCCCACAGTCTGATCCTTCTCCTTCCCTGGGCCCCCTGTACCCTGCCAGGCCATTCAAGTGAGGACAGCCACTTCCAAACTGCATAGGCTGCCTGGCTGCCCGTACCTCCCTCCACAGTCCCTGCTGGGAGACCACCCTGTAAGGGCATTGTCCACACCAGGGATTCTCAAACTTAGGCAGAATCACCTGCAGGGCTGGTCAAAACACAAGTTGCCAGGTCCTGTCAGAGTTTTTGACTCAGTAAATCTTGGTGGGGCTGAGAATTTGCCTGGTGACACTGGGTGAAGCGATGGGCCGGCCTAGGGGCCACCCTCGGAGAACCATCATCTATACTAGTGTTGTCCAACAGAATGTAACATGAGCCGCATAGGTCACTTCCTATTTTCTGGCAGCCCTGTTATAAAAGTGAAAAGAAACAGGTGACATGAATTTTAATAGTACATTTTATTGAACCCAGCCTACTCAGAAATGATCGTTTTAACAGGCAATCAACATAAAAATATCAGATTTATGTTCTTTTTGTATTACATTGATGTGATTCAGTGTGTACGTTACACACACAGCACGTTTTGGTGTGGATTAGCCATGCGCCAAGTGCTTGATAGTCACGTGTGGCCAGTGGCTACCACGTTGTATAGGTTTGTCAAGCGCGACCTTCCCACCGAAGAGCCAGGTGTTTGGC